AGTGTCACACACGATCACCTGAACAAGAAACTCAAGCTTTGGGGCTCAGGTGTAAGAAAGGACGAACAGGAGTCGGTGAGGAAACATGAACCTTACCCTCTTTTCACTTTAGTGAAGTCAAATGCGACCTGTCTGTAGGACACAGCCTTCTCGTTCAGGTAGCGGCTGTACCTCCTGATGAACGTCGACATATCGTAGCCTACGTTAGAAACCAGAGAAGAGACGAGTGAGTAGAAACGACGTATCGCAGGGAAACTGCTGTGGATGTTTGTGAGATACCTTGAAGGCCACTTCTGTCCAAAAAGTTGCTGAGGTTAAAAAGTGTGTTTCTTGAAGCCAGATATTGTATAAATCTCTGCAAAAAAACACCACATGTTATGAACCGTGAATGTCTGCAGCAGCGCCGCACACCCACAGACACTCGAAGCCCGTCACAGATTTAACTGTCTGTGAAGCTGGATTAACTATGAGCTGTTTAAAGCTTTTATACCAGGGCTGTCCAACGCCAGGCCTCGAGGGCCGGCGTCCTGCAGGTTTTAGATATAACCGTGGGTCAACACGCCTGACTCACATGATTCGTTTGTTAGCAGGCCTCTGGAGGACTCCAGGACATGTTGAGGTCATTTAAATCAGCTGTGTTGGACCAAGGACACGTCTAAAACCTGCAGGACAACGGCCCTCGAGGCCTGGAGTTGGACACCTGTGTTCTTGTACCAGTACAGAACGTAACAGGGTTGATTGGTTGGGCCTTATATACTTAGATTAGTTTATGGTAGCTAACTAGTAACAGAACCAAAAAAAGGACACTAAGACTAAAAAGCAGTCTGATAGAGGTCTTGATGCTCGATCATCCAGGTAAGTAAATCCCCAAAGGTTGATTCTGTCCATGTGGACGTTTCAGTGGGAGAAACATTTCATCATCATCAGGTGATCAACCATCATCCTCAGTCTCAGCTGACTGCACTGCTGCTGATTTCAGTTATTGTGCAAATGTCCTGCTTATAAGGTTGAAACCTGCAGTCAGCTGAGACTGAGGATGATGGTTGATCACCTGGATGATGATGAAACGTTTCTCCCGCTGAAAACGTCCAGAAACATTTATGTTTGTGCGTGATGCGCATGTAGTAACCCGCATCTTGTGGACATCAGCTGTTTATGCCACTCAGTGCATCACAACTCAGAGGAAAGGTCAGAGTGTCTCACTGCAGCTTGTCTGGTGAAACAGCCGTCCTCCTTTATTAAGTGCTTTACAAATACAAACATTACACTTCCTGTTTCAGTGCAGCTAGCCAAACAACCAGTTGGTGCTAAAGACAGTGAAAGCAGACGGTATGTTCTCGGTTTCTTCACATACAGCTCATTGTTGTGGCGAGGGGGGCCTCGTTTTCCACTTAGTTACTGGTTACCTTACTAATTATTTAGCATACCTGATGTTAGCCTATCAGCTGCCACTAACCAACCTGTTGACCTCATATCCTGTTTTGGCACAAGATGGCGCTAAACATGTTGTAAATACTTGAAACACCTATTTCTTAAACCAGTGTTCACAGACGGTGTTGAAGCTGTGACGGTTCAGAGCTCCGTGGTGTGAACGAGCCTTTGTAGTGTTTCATGTCTGCTCGCTGACCTCATTGCCATAGACCATCAGATGGTGTGTGGTGGTGAGAGACTTGAAGACAACCACCCAGCTGGTGCTGGCAGTCCGCTCAAACAGGGTATCAGCCAGCTGAGGGATGTTCACGTTCATCTCGTTGGTGCACTGGATCAAGTCTGCAGGATGAGGGAAAAATGCAAAGTGGGGAAAGATAAGCCGAAGTCTTGCTGAGGCCATAATGACCTGCCTGAAACATCTGTTCTCTGGGAAGCAGGAAAGCTGTGATGAGAGCTAAAATAATTTCATTCTCATCACGTTAAAAAGAAACAAACATAATCAGGAATTAGAAGAAATCATCAAATCTTTAGAGAAGCCGACATGTCGCACCAGGAACAGGAAACACTGAATCAATTCAACTTTATTGTCATTGCACATGTTACAAGGACAAGGCAACGAAATGCAGTTGTTGAATACTGAAAAACGTTTGTAATGCAAAACTTGAATTAAAAGAAACGTTTATATTAAAAAAAGGAAAAATAATAATTTCTAGTACAAAGACTTCACTTTTTTTCAACATGGTAGTAAATCCAGATTCTAGCTAACCAGTGACCAACCAAGAAACGACTGTGTGTGTGATTAAAGATTTATCGGGCAACACCGTCTGAGATCCTGAAAGAAGAAACATCACTTTCAGGGACTTTTACAAAACTTTATATTCACAACAGATAAATTCATCAAAAAACAAAGTTGATCAGTTTCTTGACAACATAACTTTTCCAAAACTACCAGACAGTCGGGCACTGGCACTGGACTCACTGCAGGAAGCCCTGATAAGTTTGACCAATAATAAGGCTCCAGGTCCAGACGGCTTTCCAGCAGAACTCTGGATAATTCAGTATCACAGAGTGTTGCAGAAATCAAGGAAAATGACAGACGTCCACCAAACATGAATCTCCTGCTGAAACCAGGCAGAGACCCTGTGTTTACTACCATCGTCCAATATCCCTTATTAATGTAGACCTTCAAATAATCTGCAAAGCTCTGAGATCAGAGAACCCCCTCATAACTCATCCTGACCAAACTGGCTTCACTAAGGGTAGCCACTCATCAACAAATACACGTAGATGATTTAATCTGATTGACTGTTCATGCAGTAAAAACACTGAAACCACAGTTTTGTTTCTAGATGCAGAAAAAGTGTTTGACAGAGTGAACTGGAAACTTTGGTTTTGATCCTCTTTCATTAACTGGTTAAAAATATGATATAATTCCCCAACAGCTTGTTTCAGAACAAACGACCAAACATCCTCCAGCTTCTGTCTCCTGAGGGGCACCAGGCCCGGCGGGCGTCCCTGCCTTGTGGGCGTCCCTGCCTTGTGGGCGTCCCTGCCTTGTGGGCGCCCGTCGGGCAGGGATGCCCACCAGGCAGGGACGCCCACTCCCCCCGTCACTGTTTGCAGTTTTTATCCAACCACCTGCAGCAGCAGTTAGACAGGCTGCAGTGATTAAGTGCATGAAATGCAATACATCACTCTTTATGC